CGAGAAAAGGCAGAAGAGACAGATAAGGTCTGTAACCCTGCTTCAACAGTTGGTCCTATGAGTGGAATATGAGCAGCTGTTGATGAAATATTTTGCGATTCAGATATCTCTGAACTTACGGTACTAGCCAGAATTTTGCTGTTGGTAATGTCGCTAGAATTTGCAGCAGAAGCGGCAACCGAGTGAGAAGTGGCAGTGGCTGGCGTAGATGATGAAATATTCGAGGGGGTGCCGGATAAAAGATGGGTAACAGATGCTGGTAGCGGGGGCAAAGTAGGTTGCGTTATCTTACTGGAGACGGTATCGCGCGATTTAGCAACTGAAGCGGTGGTTGTTACGCTGTGCCGATTTAAAGTCTCGACTGATGCAGTGAGGTCAAGTTGATCAATCACTTTATATTCCTCCGAATCCGTCGACCAATCCGAGCTGAGCAGTATTGGAGAAAAGTTCGGCTCTAGTGGTGTTGAGGCCTTGTTGGAGTTACTGATATTGCCGGGCTCGGTAGTACTTGTTGAGGCAGTGACCGATGGGGTCGGCTGGTTTGAAGACCCGGAATGTATGTGCGTTTCAAGAATTCTATAGAAAGGTTGTTGATCAAGTTTTGATGAATCACTTTCAGCAGCGGACTGCATTTGAATGCTTTTTGCACCTGAAATTTTAACTGCGTGCACCGTGCATTTACTTTTAAAAATTAGATGGGCCTATAGACCGCAGAAGTTATCAGTGAGAAACTATTAGTGTAACTGAGATGCAGGCACATGTGAACACACACACACACAAAGATGCAGCGCATGTTCAACAGAGATATGTCAGGTCACCTGGTTTGATAGACGAGACAGAAGTTTCAACCGCGCTTTAAGTCTGCAGAGCAGCAGTTGTCTGCCAATCGCATGAGTTTTTGAGCGCATTTGCACAGATTAAATAATGGCTACCGTAATGTCATGCCTATTTTTATAATCGATTATTAAGCTTAACGGTAAGGTCACTCACGAATCAGTTCTTTTTTTGTGGAAAAGTGGTCACTGACTAAACAAATCTGATACTGCACCAAAAATTTTCCCTAATATGGTCTTTAAATCTTAGGTTTAAATGCTGTAACCAAAAAATACAAAAAATTTATAAAAACGCATGACAGCACCGGCAAGCTTGGTGCTTCGCGCTAACTGGAATCCTGCATTTCAAATGCGCCAGAAAAGTTTGTGGTTAAGATGCGCATACTGAAAGCATGATAACACCACACATCAGCCTGCGTATAATGAGACAACGTGCATGGTATGCATACGTAGTGGAGTAGGCAAAAACAGAAGACGGTTAGCTCAGAGAACTGGCTGACCGAACAAATGCACTCCGTAGTAACTGCATCTCAGTGACACCAACATTACCATAGTAATGTTACAAACCGTGATAACGATAAGTGGAGCACCTACTGGAAAATCCTTTTTCCAGCTGCACATTTGACGAATTGTAGCGCAGTACTTCCTGACTGACGCTATGAACCGTTGCATTAGCCGAAGACGCTGGCAGTTGATAAGCCGATAGTGGTGGTGATGACGACGACGAATTGAAAACGGAACCTTCGTTAATAACACGAACTTGATGCAACGAAACAGAATCACGACTTAACTGCATTGGCCCCGTATCTACTGCAATTACGACTGCATTAACAGCAGGATTTTCGATGTCAGACACCGGCTCATTTTGTGCACCAAAATCCCCATTTGTGTTAGGATACTCGCGATGTAAAACTGAACTATCAGTAAGTCTACCACTTTGGCGATTATGCTGCTCTTTCAGTTTAGACGCATTAACAGCAGACTCTTCCTCGGCATGTGGTGCATTTTCAAGTATTGTATTGGCCGCAAATTGAGTTTGAACTTCTTGGCTTAGCTGAGCTTCTTGAGCACCATAACTGCCTGCACTAACATTTTCAGCAGCTTTGTCTTCTCTCATGTTCTTATATATCTTCTTTTGTTTGAGCTCACGACCTTTCATCTCTAATGCATCAGGTTGTGGCTTCGCATGCACAACCTCAAGAATTTCTGCCGCCCGCATCGCGTGAGGCAATGGCTTGTCTTCGGCCTGGGATAGCTGTGCCTCTTCTGAAATCTGTAACTTCTTCTTTTTGAGCATTTGATGTGTTGATCCGTTGAAGATACCAGCGACAACAGAAGGTGACTCGGCACCAATTTTCGACGTAGTGTTCAGCAGCTCTAGCTGGGCATTATTATGTACGGAAGAGTCTTCCTGTGATATTTTCTGAACTGAGGCCAAGTCCGTGAACAGTTGCTCTGCAACACTGTCATCGAATACATTCAATTTTGTCGATGTGATGTCTTCAGCATTTTCTTGCTGTAGCAGTTGCGTCGCTTTGCCTGAAATTTGCTTCGGTACCTGTATTTCTTGCTGCAGCTGCTGATCCTGCTGGAACAGCGGCAGTGATTGACGCAGCAGCTCCTCCTTTTGTGAAATTTGCCGTGGCTCACTTTGCTCGAAATTGTGACGCGACGCTTGAATTTCCTGTCTGTTTTGCTGTTGCAACGACGACCAAGGCTGTGACAGAAGCGCACCTTTTTGCGAATTTCGTGATTCTTGCACTTCCTGCTGTTCAGATACTTGCGTCTGCTTCCGTCGCAGCTGCTGCTTTCCTTTGCCAGTGGAACTGCTATCAAAAAGCGTAAGATTTTCCTCGACATCAGATCCAGACAAGAGAATTTGCAAATCCGCTGTACTGGGCAACTCATCACCGTCATTTGAGGCCACTGTGGTCGGTCTTACGGTAATCGCGATAGCCGATGAAGCATCATGAATTGCGTCAAAGGCGTGTTTCCATTTTTCAAGCGCAACCTGCTGTTGCTGATTGCGAAAAGCTTGTGGAAGTTGAAGTGGCGTACGGGGTATTTGTACACCACCACGAAACACCGATCGTTCTGGAATACTTTTTCCTTCAGGTACCCAAATAGCCAGTTTTTGTCCTGGAACAAGCGGGTATGAAAGGCTATTTCGTTGCTCGTGCTGTATTGTTGTGCCACGATTCAGGTTTTGTGCCATAGCGTTGCCTAAAATTTGGTGCGAGGGCAACCTGTTTTTGAAGTTGAGTGCTGAGTGCGCAATGTGAAATTCGTTGAGTGGCTGGGAATTTCCAGAGCTGAAACGAAATGCATCAGAATTCAAGGGTTCAATTGGTGGTTGGCCTGAAAACTGTGATGTTTTGTTAGTGCCTGATGCTGTGACATCTTGGAGGCCTGCTGCAGTGCTTTGGCTCGGTTCGTGCAGTGCTTCCTCCGAATGAAGTGCAATAAAACGGTTGCTGTGCTGTGTCCGCGCTGCGTTGTGATGATAAGCGGCAATCCGTCTGCGACCTGTGAGCCCATCTAAACAAATTTAATGTGTTTGCTAAAAAATACAAAGTGCAAAGTAAAAGACCGAGTGTGCTGAAAGCGTATCGAAGTCGCAAGAGTGGTGAAAAATGAATGGAAAATTTAGTAGTGGTAGCTGGAGCTGAAAAGGTACAATAAGCAGAAAATGGTAATGAATAACTTATATTTTGCTTTAAAAACCAAACGTACTCCTAATTCGCACTAGGACGTTTAAATCTCGTGTCAATTTGTCAAAGAATCTTAAATGCTTAAACTGTGCGTCAGTTTAAGCGGAAAACAAACAACAGCAAAATAGGAAGCAGTAAATTCGTTAAAAGGCATAGAATTTAGAGTCCCCTTAAGGGTTCCTATAAATTTACATAAAACCACACTTGGCTAACATTATGGTGGCTTTATGTAAGTTTCGATTAGACAAGAAGTGCCTGTTTAAGTAGAAAGTGTTACTACTAGGCACAGTAAACAGAAATGAATTTAAGACCCAAATGGGTATAGCAGACACAGTGCTCAGAATTTGCATGGCCAATGCTTCTAATATTGCCACCAATGAACAGCCGCTCTACAGTCGAGAAAGAAGTTTTTTTCGCCTGAAATTTGTGCTAGAAGGGGCCTAAATTTCCATCTTTGCTCACTCAGGAGTTTTTACTTACGTACTCTATTACTGTGCCATTTGCATGGTGTTCAAGGTGCATGCTTCTCCGTGATCGAAGCTCGTAGCTGCTTCATTCACTAGATTTTGTGTTAAACAGTTCCCGATTCAATAGGCTATTCGCTGAAGCGATGAATTTTAGTCAACGAGTGTGTAAATGTCAAGACTTCCGTTGGCCGAAGTCTCCGACACTTACCCAGTCGGAAGCCGTTCAACACTTAAACTGCAACGATTATTCAGCAACGAAAAATATTTCAGCTTTTGAGAGTAATACATGACAGTTTATTAGCGCAAGAACTAATGTGCATGGTGCGTGCAGCATGCAGGCCTTCTTAAATCAATCCCATGTTCTTGAATTTGAATGCTATTGTGTTATTGCTTTAAGCTTACTCAGAAATCGGGCGCAGTGTATTTCGCACTCATGCTTCGAAAAGAAGTGATTTCGGTTGCCTGCGCAACCACCATATCGGAAAGGTTGACACAAACCGCTGCTGACGTCGAAGAACCAACGTTCAATGAAATTTTTGCACGGACCGGCATCCTGCAAATTTTAAAACAAATAAAATCGAAGTCACATTCTTGTTTGAAGGTCGATATACAAACAGAACTTATTTCAGATAACTGACTTTACACAAAAACTAGGAATATGAATCCGAAATTTTAGCTTTCTCATTTGCGTAATTATTGGTTACAGTTGTTTGATTGATGTGTGTAAAAACATACACGAATTCATACAAATACAAAAAAGGTGGATTAATTGCATCGCACTTTTAAACGCTTGTGCAGAGGGTAATTTGTGTGCTCCCAAATGCTGAATTACACCCCTATCATCGTACTGAGAGATTTAAAAAAAAAGCAACACATACAACAGGCTGGGCACATTTCTCGCCAAGTTCGGTCACTGAATTCACTCGCGAGAACGCGTCCGCTGAAGAAAATGAGTCGCTCTCAGTTTCGACCACATTTCCTAAAACTGTAATTACTAATATGACATTCACTGAGTGAAAAATTGGTGACCGATCGTTTTTTCGTATTAACTTTGCTTTAAAATACTGGAAAAGCAGATGAAAACAGCGAATGGCAAGTAATAGTTGATCTGACAGAGGTAAACTGGATTGACAAAGTAAAAGTTAACCCCCCTCCCCTCCCTCCTCCTATCTATATTCGTTCTCAGCGGATTAGTGATAGCAAATGTCAACAATAACTGCTCGCTAGCAAGGCAATAAAAACTTATAAAATCTTAACCTCAGCCGTTTCGGACAACGCATAAAAATCCTAAGTTAATTGTTCGGACGTACATACACATGCCAATATAATCTCGCCATAAGCGCTTTCATTCTCTGGAATAATTCAGAAAAATGAAGTGTCTCACGCTGCGGCTGATTTTCTCCAGCAGCATGCGCGCCACCAGGTGCTGTATCAGCTGGTGGATGACTCTCGGATACATCGCTTTCATGCTCCTCCTTCGGTGGCCCAGACAAAACGTTCTCGCTTTCTGGCCGAGCCAACGGACAAACACATTCCTGGCAGCCGCGACGATTCGAAAACACAACACACGGTTCGACGCACTGCGACACATCAACTGGTGGACACTGTGCTACGGCCGGCGGTTGCGCTGCAAGTAGAGTATTTTTAGTAAAAAAGCGTCTGAACAAAAAGAAAATATTTTAGTTGTGACCGTCGAGTTTTGGAAAAACAGAGCCACTGGATCACCCGAAAATGGAAAACCTCGAACACACGTCGTCCTGCATTCTGCTAGCGTTCCAAAATTGTTGCCATTTCCACCACAACCACCATAGGTGAACGAACGGCACTCATTGCTTGATAAATCAAATGCAAATCTCGGAAAAACACCGGAGCATTCGCCAATTTCAATCGGATGCTGGCAAACATCTGCGCCAAGCATCATCTCTAAAATGGTTTAGCGTTCAGCTGTTACGAGCAGCAGCCTATATGTGATTTCAGTGAGAAGGAAATAAATAAGCAGTACGCGAACAAAAATTAATTGCATTGCTACCACGAAATTCTACTGCAATTGGCACATTTTCCCCAACAAACAGTGAGGACTGAAAATTTCTCGCAGCTTTATAAAATCTTATAATACCTCCCTTCTCCTACCCTCATGTTTCTCCCTAACTACTTCCAAAATTTCGACAAAAAGCCTTAAAGGCTTGGAAAATATACGCCTAAATCGCATCTGAAAAAAAAAAAACTTGGCGTAACTACATGTGCTTTAAAGTGTGGATTTCATCTTATCGGTACAATACAACAATCCCAAAAAGCTTCGATTCCAGAAGAATTCATGCAAAAAACTAACTCTGCTTGATGCATTTGTTACGGCACTCCAACGCACTTCCGAAATTGTTGCCGTTACCGCCACAGCCGCTGTACGTAAATGGCCGGCAATCACCGGTGGCTGAATCGAATGCAAATCTATGGAACACGCCCGTGCAGTCGCCCGGATCGATGGGATGCTCACATATATTGCCCAAATCTGTTGGTGCCGGCTGCCTTGGAACTACTGCAACAAAATGTGGTGATAAAAAGAATAAAATTAACAAATGGTGACATATATCAGGAAGCCAGTGCGGTCATATACTTGTATGACAAGTTGCTGTGAACATACTGATGTGTTAAGTTTCAAATAACCGCAATTGCAAGCAAAAAGGACGAATAATGGTTAAAAGTGGAAGCTGAGTTTAAAAAAAACTTCCAAAAAATTGATTCTTTTTCAAAACACGTGATCGCAGCTGTCTGCTGAATTTCCTGAAAATCCCAAGAAGCCCGCTTCCCTGCTTGCTTTTTTCAGTTCCTGGATCCGTTTTTCGATGACCGATAAAAAGATACCGGACTGGTGGCAGACAGCAAAGCATTCATCTCGGCTAGCAAAGTTATTTCCGTTCCCACCGCAGCCCGAGTATGTGAACACCTGACAAGTACGCCTTTCCGAATCCCAGTGCCATCGGATAAACTGGCCAGCGCAATTGCCTCGGTCTCGCTGTTGTAAACATTGCTCGGCGGTTGTACCTGGAATGCGAAATTATCAGTGTTGCTGATTCTGTGATAAAAAGAAGTGAGTTTATAGAAAAAATGAAGGTGATAGAGCGTGTTAGAAAATTCGTAAAATAGCTACGTATAAACGATGTTGACTTAGAAGAACTTCTAAGCTACGATTATCTTAGTCAGAAAGCAAATATGCCCCGCAATCACACCTGTAGTAATGCTACTGGCTGGCGCAAATTTTGCATCTCCAAATTGCTAAGTAGTAAGAACCGAACCCGCCTAATTCAATATCACTGCTAATTGATGAAAGTAGGAGAGCGAACACTGGCTGTAACAGAAGGCAGCAGTGCAGTGAAGGAAGCTTCTAGACTCTCTGTGTATCAGATAAATAATAAAATTCTGTTTCTCCAGATTAGCGACTTGTTGAACGTCACTGTGACTATGTGAAAAAGTAAAAACAGGTGGGCAAGACATGCTGATCGCTTTGCTAATAATCGATAGACAATCCGTAATTAGTAAGTGGTCCCAATCAGAAGTACTCAGGTAGCCTCCGAAGAAGTGACGGACACAAGGTGAGAAAAAGGAGTCACAAGACATTTAGCTCAGGATGGAAGAGCTCTGTGGGAACATTTTAGTGATACATAGGATCCCCGCCCCAACTTTTGGGTGATCTTAGTAATCTTCGTGATAGATTTGCAATTTTACAGTCAGCGAGTTCAGAAAATGAAGAATCACTTAGCTTAACAGTTGGAAATCATTTGCTGAGATAAATACAGAAATCAGTACCAGAAAAGAGCTTCTCGGTGAGTTGTGGCAGCACCGTAGTCGTAGTAATAGCAGCAGTAGTCAGAATTGTGGGCTGTGTGGTAACGGTTCGGTGATCAATCTTTGTAGTTCGTGAGGAAGGCGGTTCTGAGGATAGTGTAACTGATAGAGATGTTTTGCCTTCAGCACGTGACAATTTGTCAATCTCATCGATCGCTGTTGCCAGTTTCGAAGTTATTGTCGATGTTTTTTCACTGCTTCGAGTTCTGTAAAGTGGTCTACTGACAGAAATTTACAAAATTCATGCAAAAGAAAAATAAAGTAGTTTTTTAAAAATAGCCCTGGTACCATTCTTATATGGCAAGGAAATTTCAAAGGCGCATAAATTTTGTCCCGCAAGTATTTTATACCTGAATTACTTTTTTTTTAGGACACACGTATATAAATGAAACATCCGATTAGCTTTGTAAAATATAACTCATATTTTTTCCTAAGTCCATATACTGACACAAACATACATAAAAAAAGCGCTTACACATTTATGTACAAACACACATACATGCACATATTTTTAGAAAAGTGACAGATTCCCAGAAGTTACTGCCACAACACGTTCTGATGATGATATTTATAATATGTTGGAGTAGGCGTAGAAAGAAGCTAAGAAAGAGAAAATAGAGAAAAATTGTCTGAACTCTTCTTGCTTGACACGAATCCATTGCGAATAACCAGTATAAACCGCGCTCTCTATGAGAAAAATTGGCTAACTATTCTATTTTCATTAGCAAATTTCCAAAGGCACAGCACATATGCGTGCCAACAGAACACATGGAATTCAGGACTCGTTGATCTGCCCCGGCTGCATCGGCGCTTTAAAGCATATTAGTTACATTATTAACATGGGATCCACAACCCCAGGTGGTCTTAGTGAGGTAATAATTCTTACTCAGGAAAATTTTCCGCTGAACAAAGGTTTTCAGCACGAGTCAGTGCAAGAAACGCATAAAAATGGGTACATTGTTGTGGACTGCTGGAACTGAGAAGCAGATGCAGCTGTTGTCGCTGCAGTTTCCTGGTTAGCTTCAAAGATCGAATCGCCCAATCCGACAAAAAGTACAGAATCCCCAGTGGTAGCAACTGTCGATTCTTCGCTTTCAGTCGCTGTTGTCTTCACAACTGGTGTTGGTACGGCTACCGTGGTTTTTTCCCGATGAGCTGTTTGCTGCGCATCCTTTCCACCTTTTCTGAAGAACACAACCGATACATACTATTTAACATCAAACAAAAACTGCACCTATAATTTAATCAGTAAAGATGACGAATTTATTCCGTACTTTTTATGCGTTTTTGTTGTGCAGCGCTGTAGCAGCGCTATAGCGCTGCTACAGCCAGCAAAAACGCATATTGTCGAGAGGCT